CATGGTGGTCATTTGTGATGTCCTCGACTTAGATTTACAAGACTTCAGGTGACCTCTGACTTCTACAGCTATGAGCTATTCAGCCACATTTCAGACAAGCCAGTAGGACAAATAAACTAAGAAAAAAGTCTGGAGAATAAGGCTGCATACTAACAAAAGAAGAGAAGGAGTCAGTGCATTCATATACAAGCAGTTCATGGTAGAAGAGCTTTATAGGATGACTATTATGAGTGTGGTGTCTGTCTAATGTCTGGCTGACTCACGGATCGACTCTATCCCATTTCTCATAGCATCAACACCTTAAGGCCTAAAACGACCTCACAGACAGGAAATGTCAATTATACCAAGTTGGGACTTGAGTGCAAGTCATGAAGAGTGAGAAGAAATGTGAAAAGACCATGACACACATTCCCAAAAACTAATACAACAATTTCTAACGTGATTTTATGTCAATTCTGACTCCAAATTTCATGATTTTTAATTCAAATCATAAAATTAATCATTAAAGAGGTCCTGTTATGCCTTTAGTGCGTAATGTTGCAGTTACAAAGCACCAAGTCCACTCCAAAAGGGAGTATTCTGTATGAGTAAGCGATGTTTTTGAACTCCCTCAAATGCCTCGACTGCAGTCCTGTTTTCTTTCAGGAACATATGCATCACAATATTCCTCATTTAAAGGGGTCATAGGATGCTACATGCACTTTTACAAGTTGTTTGAACTGAAATGTGTGTTGGCAGTGTGTGTACACAACCACCCCAAAATGATAAGAATCCACCCAATTTTTTTTTTAATCTGCTCAAACCTTTACCCCTTTCACAAATGGAGCCGATCTCAGATGCCTGTCTGTGTGACATCACAAAAACAGGCCCCTCCCATGATAGTTTGATTGAAAGTAGCGTTTCAGCACAGACTGGACTGGCGTCTTACGTTAGACCTCCCTGAGTGAGCTGTCATCAGCCCCGCCATTGTTTAACCGCCGGAGCAGATGTAGACAAGAATGACTCCTAAGCGATTGAGGTGTTCTCTTGTTGGATGTAATAATGAACATAGCAGTCGTCATTTACTCCCGACATCTGAGCCGCTGAAGATGCAGTGGATTACATTTGTTTCTGAAGGGAATGTGCCCCCGATCTACATAAATGCGTCTATGTTCGCGCGAATCATTTGTGATCCAGCTTCACCTACAGAAGAAGTGAGTGTAAGGTTTTTTTTAATGAATCTTTGCAAATTTGCCTTTCCTAATAATGTGCTAATTAGCAAGTTTCACGAGGTATGCGGCTAAAGTAAACAGTCCCTCTGAGAGCAGCTTGGAAGAGAGGGGCGGGGTCAGCAGAGCTCATTAACACTTAAGGGAAAATGCTACAAAACTGCGTGCTCTGAAAAGAGCTGTTTTTGACAGGGTAAAAAATGTGTTTTTTACACTACCATTGAGAAATTTTAACCCAACTAAGTTACAGACTTTTCATTAAGACCCTAAAGAATCATATCAACTTGTGGAAAATGTTTATGACCCCTTTAAATAATTCCGGCCCAAAGCATTAAAAAATAAGGGGTGCACGCGCTTCGTGTGTGTGCGCTCAGAAAACCATATATCAGAAGTTTAAACTTACAAGGATTTTTAAACGCGTTGCAAAGAACTTTTCATTATGACAAAGAACTGGAATGCCATGATAGAGATGATAATCATAAACAGATTTTTTTGTTTGTTGTTGCCGTAGTAACAGGCATGATGTATGAGCAGCAGCTCCTTTGCATTTAAAGAGAGACACACGAAAACAGCATGATTTTGCTTCCACCCAAAAAGGGCCACTTACAGCATTATATAATAAATTATATGTGGGGTATTTTAAGCTGAAACTTCACAAACTCTACTTGAGACTGGGGAAACTTGAGATTTATATTATATCTTGTAAAAAACAACTTTTTATAACTTCTTATTAGGACCCCCTTAATGCTGTTATCTGACCACAGAATTCTGTTATTGATCAGTCAGAATGAAGCATTCCATAAAGCCATGGTATTATTAAATTTTTTTCTAAATATGTCCCTCTTCTGTAAACTGTAAAGCAAAGTTTCACATTTTCAGATATTAAAACTGTTTAACCCTTATAAATTTACAATCTGAGAGGTTCAAAAATCTGTGACTTTTGAGATAATATTTTGACAAAAATTTTAAAAAACTTGACGTGATGAGTCATAAAAAAAATAATGAAATGGAATGGAGTGAAATGGAGAAATGTACACAAATAAAAAATTATGGAAATTAGTGTTATATCGTTTAATTAAACAGAAAACGACAAAAATTTTAAAAAACTTGACGTGATGAGTCATAAAAAAAATAATGGGGTGAAATGGAGAAATTTACACAAATAAAAAATTATGGAAATTAGTGTTATATCGTTTAATTAAACAGAAAAAGTTACACTCTTACTGTTCCTGGTATTACTATGTTACTATGAGTGAGGCCAAATCAATATAGCAGACTACTGAAAAAACAATAAAATACAGATTGGAACAGCTGAGAGGATATGGAGACACAACAGACTGTGGCATCAAGACTGAAAACCCCAAATGAAGATTTAGGTATTGTTTTGTGAATATGATACTGAAAACATCAGAGTGGTCAAATTCCTCTCACTCCCTTATTTTCAGAGACAAAAGATGGGTGTGATAATGACAGTCTGTTTTTTCTTGAAAACCTCACTCTCTCACAAGCCATATATAGACACAAGACTCCCTTTTTCTTCTTAGCTTGGGCAGAGAGATTGAGAAAGAGAGAGAGAGAGAGAGAGAGAGAGAGAGAGAGCACACTCTAAAAATAAAACATCTGTTCCAGCAGCAGGTCAGGTGGGAGGCAGGTCTGACCCACCATGACAAGGAAGATGAGAAGAGAGAAAAGCTGTGAGGAAAATGATACTGTAATCTGTTAGAGAGAGAGGACGAGGAATTGACTGAAAGAGAGATGTCAAGCAGGGGGGTTTTACTGGACAGCACACTAGCTAGACCCCAGTGTGAGTGTGTGCATTTGTGTCCATGTGTGTTTGGTAAAACCACAGGCTGACTTAAAGACAAACACCAGGGCCAGCTTGCAGAATGATGAATGCGTGGAGAGAGTCAGCAGAGAGTTGAGCAGAGCAAACGAGATAAAATGAAGGCATAGAGAGAGAGAGAAAGCGAAGGGAGCGCAGGCACAGAGGGGCCCTGAAAATATCATGTGTCATCTGCATGAATGTGTGCAAGTGAGAGTGTGTTTGGTGAGCTTTTTGAAAGCGTGATTTATGGGTGTACATGAGAGAATGAATGAGCTGGGCTCTGTGTGAGACTTCAGGAAAAGAAGGATTAGAGTGGAAAGACTGACAATGTGTGTGATGGAAAAATTCACAAGATGACTGTTTTTACTGTATATTAGATCAAAATAAATGCAGCCTTCGTTAGCAAAAAACAAAAAAAAGAGACTTCTTTCAAATGTTTTAAAAATCTTACTTTTGAATGGTGGTATAGGTTGATGACGTTTTTTGAACAGCCCAACCAGCAACACACAGCAACAATGGCACAACCAATGGCTGAATTTGGGAAGGGACTATCTTTTTGTTAATCCAATGGTTGACAGGGAGTGTTCCCATGCTGGACAAAAAAAAAAAAAAGAAAAAAAAACTTAAACCTAAGCTGGTTTGCTGATCTTAGCTGGTTTCCCAGTTTGGTTTTAGAAGGACTTTGGCTACTTTTAAGCTGGTCAGACTAAAAGAGCTAACTTCACACTGTCAGACCATCTTAAACCAGCAAACCAATGTGGTTTACCAGAGACAGGAAACCTTTTTATGAACCACTACACAACTTATGGTTACTTTTATTGATAATCTTTCAGCTATTTAAATTCAGTTTTCATACTGATTCATTTGTTGAAGTTCCCAACGCAGTTTCGGGATGAGACTAATCGTCCAGCCCTGCCAATTATTGCTACAACCATATATAAGCTGCGTTCTGGCATCCCTCCACCTCCCCTTTTCCTCCACACTGTACCATCATAAGGGGGGGCAAGTTCGTTTACCATTATCTGGCAGGGCTGAATAGGCAGGCGAACTCGTGAAATTAATACTAACACTGATCTAACCAGTTATTTCCAGGAAGATAGGTACAATACAACTAAATGAAAATGAGTGATGTTTGATTGGTGTCCACATGGAGTAATTTGTTTTCCAAGCCATAAAAATGTAATAAATGACAGAAATAAATGTAGAAAGCAGACATTGCACAAGACAATAAAGAGGAAGGGGGATCATCAGACCTTTTGGAAGGCACACAAAAAAGTATTTCTGGTGCTCTACCCTCTCCCATCATTCTCTGTCTGTCTCTCTCTATTCAGAGCCTCAAAGGAGTCCATCTGCTTTCCATTCAGGCACATAATGCGTTTCAGGAGACTACATTACCCTTCAACACACACACACACACACACACACACACACACAGAGTGCTCATTCACCCCTTTACCCAGAACTTCACACTAACTTGTTAATGCAACTGCAAAGTCTCCACGTCCCAGCACGATCCAAATAATAGACGGCGAATTTCACTTTGCCATTCAAAGTAGATAGCCCTTCTGTGATGACATCATGGTTTGGACAAGGACAGATTTGGTTACAATTTAGAAAATAGCTCTTATGTATAGTAATTACTAAGTAAACAGAGCACAAAGTGCAGACAGGTTCATAAAAAATCAACATTTTCTTGTTTATGGCCTAAATTTAAGGTTAAAGAACAGGGATTTAACAGTTATTGTGCCTTTACAATGAGAGTCAAACATTTCTGATCACATCACCTAATTGCTTACATTTCCTGAAATGCCTACTTCACATGTGCACATTGTGCAGCTTGCGAGGTAGTGGGCGGGGCGTGTTCTGGGCGTGTGCATGATGACCCAATCATCTTGCGAATCCTAACGCATGGGGTGAGTCGCCCCGCCCCCTTCACTCACGCTTCTTTGCGTGCTCATGTCCCGCAGAGTCAGAGACGCGACAGAAGCAGATAAGAAGCGTTGTTTTTTTGTTTTTTTTTATCAACTCTCTTTTTGTAAGTACCCGTGGGATCAAAAGTATTTTAATTAGCGTTTCTCTTAAGTTGGACACGTATTTGGATATATCCCGTGTGATAAAACGCGGTATTTGTCAGTTGTCTCAACGGAAATCGAGGAGTTTATTCTCTCGGATCAGCCCGTTTCATGCGACTAGACAGTCTCCATCTGTCCCATCTGCACGACAGGACGGTGAACATCACTGGACATTTACGGATAGAAACTGGACGACACGCCGTAATTTGAATGCCTTTGCGGGGTCTTTGCTGGCTTGCGTGCTGCAGACAAGGCTTCAGTTTGCTGGCTCGGGATCATGGGGAGAAAGAGGAGGAAGAGTCTTTCGAGTTACGGAATCAGGACGAGCACACACACACAGGACGGGTATGTAGTCAAAACTAAAGCTGTCACAAAACCTAGTAAGCTGACTACCTAGACAGCACAGTATGGTATCCAATATGGTTCATTGCTGTAGTTTAAACTAACGTTAACTAATATCTAGTCTGATGCCCCCTTTACGTAAAAATATTTGTGTATGGATCCCAAACGTAACACGTAACTTTCATTTGTTTTGAAGTAAAATCAAGTAACATATTGCCATTGAATTTTATGGGTATGTGTGGTTCAGATCTCAGCTATTCACTTCCAACTAGCATCTGTTGCTAGTTGTTGCAGATACCTATTACTAGTAGCTTTACATTTGGTACTAGTACTTTTTGTTGGGTGTTTACTAGTAACTAGTCCTGCTTAATAATTATTTACTAGATACTTGTACCTATTTATCTAGACATTAGTAACTATCCTAAGTGTCACTAGTTACATATTTTGTCTCACTCAATTGTTGTTTTGCTTATCATATATGATTTAATATTAGTGTCTATTCAGTACTACTAAAACTAATTACTAGTAGTAAATAATGAGTGTTCATGTAAAGAATAAGTGCTAGTGATTTACTGAATAGCTATTAGTCACTATTGGTACTAGTATCTAATGAAATTGCAAAGGATAGGCCTACTAGTAGTCACTATTGGTTTACATACTAGTAACTAAAAACGTGTATACTGTAAGGCTCAAAAGTGAATGGATTTTTAACATTCATAAATTAAGATATAGACATATACAAACATATTTTTGTAGCACTGACATGTACAAATGTATTGATTTCTCAGTTTCAAGTCGTGGAAATGGAGTGTGATAAGAGCACCAAGGTTAATCTAGTGAAACTAGTTTTTCTGGTCATATTTTGAGAATCAAAGAGAAGCGTTTGCATGCTATGATACCAATACTCCCAAGTTATCATTTGTGAGACATTCATACATATGTTCACTATGTATGTGGTTTTGAGGGCCTTTTAATCCTAGCAACCCTATTAGAGGAAAACCATGAATGTCACAAAATATGCTTTGATCATTTGTTTGTAAGGCAACCGTACATCCGAAGTATTCCACTGTTGTCACACACAACTTATTGTTGAGGTGTTTCATGATTAGCCCATGTGTGTTAAAATGGAAGGTACAAGGTCCTGTGAAATGTAATGAACAGTAAAGTACATTCAGCTGAGCCAGCACTCCATCTATCAGCACTCCAGTTTCCATCTATTTTACGCCTCTGTGCAACTGAACAAATCCGCATGATCAAATATTTAATAATGGCTCCTCTGTCAGTAAAAATTCTGGTATTGATCCTCTCTTGTACACTAAATTAGTTTTTCAACAGCCAGCGAGCCTTTCTCACACTCACACAAAGGCAGATTTAAGCAGTTCTGAATTAAAGCAGAAATATTTCCGTCTCACACTCAGAAGACCCTGTGTACTGTACTTCTTGGGATGGCTAATCGCCTACAACTGAAAGTATTCCACACTCCATTAGGACCCAACACCCACATGTAATGCTGGCTTACCTCAAGTGTACTGTCTACAGTTCATATCAGTTCTCTGATAGGTGGGTATAAAGACATATTGACATATCTGGACATATGCGTACACACGCTTTATGAGACACCCACTGGTTTTCTAATCTGTCACATATTGTGAAACCGGGTTACACACAAATGCACTGGGCCAATCAATAAGAAACAGCCTAAGGGACCTTTTGCGCCAATCTCTCATGGACTGACCTCTTATCTCTCCCTACTCCCTTTATCCCCACTCCATCCATCCTCTATTGACTAATCTCCCTGAAATCAATAATCCCCATATTTCCTTGCTGAAGTCTTATGCCATTAACCCATTTATGGCTCTGTGAAGGATTTCTGTGTGCGTGTGTGTGTCAGGGCAATGGGGGTAGAATATAGGAGGTTAATAGGTTAATGCATCCCCCTCCTCCCCAGGGTCATCAGATACCTTTTTTTTTAAGAAGGCACCAATGGGAGTCCTTTGGAGCCAACAGGCAAGAAAATACATGACCAGGAAGAAAAAAAGATGGGATAGTCTAATAGTACAGACAAATTTAGACATGTGAATGGGTGATTTCTGACACAGAGTTTCAAACAAACTCAGTTTGAATTTGATTGCAGTATTAAATTTGATGAACTTGATACACTGAACACTGCCAGTCTTCGGTATGTGATGTAACCATTAGATAATGTTACATAGTCAACGGAGTACCTGCCACATCTTTGGGTATCAGATATACAGTAATGAAGCAGCTTTAAAGACTTGATAATCAGCTCTAACCACTTGAATGACTATTGTAATACGAGTGACCATTTGCTGAGTCATTGTTTTAGGGCACACAGAGCCTAAACTTTTATTATGATTTGTTAGCTTTTTCTTGCTGTTGCACGACCACAATTGACTCGTTCTGTTTTCACTGTTGCCATGGTGCCATTATTGATTATTGATAAAAGATATTTATATCTAGAGTGCATATCTCCTCTTCATGCCAGGCGAGATCAATAGACTGAGCAACAACCTTCAGTTGTCCTTCCTAGGAGAAACTAAGTGGTTGCTGCTCAAGTCTTGGTGGATAGCATCTATTTTTCTGTTGTTTATAATTAGCACCATGGGCGACATTGGGGGTGCAAATTGTTAGTAATGAAATCCCGATGTCGGCCCCTCACCATGTTTTTGCAGCGTTGAGCAATGTAGCCAATCACAGACATATCTGTTGATTTCTTGAACGCAATGGCCAATCAGAAACGTTTTGTCAGAATTCACTCATCGCTGAAAGCGCCGCAGTTTTGCACGCTCGTAAATCATCTCATCACTAAGTGCAGACACAATGTAAATAAGAGATTCATTGTGCAGTTTAGAGAGCTTAATTCATAGCTTTCAGTCACGTGACCGGCTCAAAGACCTGGAGGGCAAAACATCCATAGAACTGAAGGACAAACCTGTACATTTTCCATCTGTTTCACAGCCGCAAATATTTAGATCACCTCTCAAAATAATAAAACAAAGGTATGTGAACAAAATGCAAGTTTTGGCCATTTGCAATCTATATTAAGCACCCGCGGCAATATTTCAATCATTAAACAGTGCGACAAAACATTGTAAAAACACTTAAAGTGCCTTAATATATTTAAAACAGTAATATTCTCTATATTTATGATGCATAGTTTACATAGACAAGCAGATGAGGCCGGAATGTGAATGCAATCCGCTTAATGGTTCAGTGTTTTCCTTCTAATGGTTTTCGTTTAACGTGAAACTTTGTACATTGCATTTATATTCTGGCTTCATCTGCTTGCCTGTACAAAATATACATAATCAATAAGATGTTTACTGAATTTCGCCTTTTAATATCTGCGTTTTACTACATTACTACTTAATGCAAACTGCATAAAAATAACTGGCGGTCAGTGGAGCAAAGCTTTGTTTTGCCCTCCAGGTGGGCATTCCTATAAGGGTGTGACGCCACGTGAAAATCAGTTGTAATCAGTTGATTATAACGGAACTTTGTGAGATTGCGATGAACGAAGATGAGCACGCTTTGTGCACTTTCTAGGGTATCATCAATTCAGAATTTGTATGAAACTTTTGTTTTTCAAACACATACACCCTGCAAAGTTTCGGGAATGACATTCGCATATTGTGTAAACTTTGAGACCGGGACATATCAACCAGTAATTTAATTTAATTTCCAGTAACGGATGGTACAAAGTTTAGCAATGAATGGTATGTGATTTATGACAGAATATAGTCCCATCAACTGATCGTTTATTTTTTCCTCGCCGTGTCTCGCCATTTTGTAACAACGATTCAAAACGGACACATTTCAAGTGACACAGGAGAAAGACACGGAAAACTTAAGTAAATATCAGAAAAGCAGCATGCACATTTCTGGTTAAAATGAAAGGCCATGACAAACGGGAAGCATCGCCATTCAAGACAGCCGCAAGAGTCAGCTCCACAGTTTACTAAACGGTGGCAACCTCTTTAAGTTATTCTTGACTGTGTTGTATTGACTGCTTTGATGCGTTGCAATACTGTAGGGCATGGTTTTGATTCTTACATCCGGAATCCGCTTTTATTTATTTATTTATTCTTTTTTTTTTTTTTCTTGCCCCCCCCTGACTCAAGAGTCAAATGTCGCCCATGATTAGCACTCTGCCTTTTGGTGGTTTGAACTAACAAAGCTTATTCTTTACATGTTGGAAAATTAAGCTTAAACTGGTAACTGTGTTTTGCAATGTGCTAGCTGGTTTCTCATTAAATTTGTTCAACGTAGACATTCGCTGGTTGACCAGCCTCCATGTGCCACCAAAAACCAGCTTGACTATTTTAAACTGGTGTGAGTCCAAAATTGGCTAACATTCCTTTGATCATTTTGGATTTGCTAATGATTGGCTTAAGGTACAGTCACATTTATTTAAATTAAATTCAAATTTATTTGTATAGCACTTTTCACAATACACATTGTTTCAAAGCAGCTTTACAGAAAATGCATGTGTCTACATTACATTTACCATTGTTCAGCGAATTTCCATGTGCAAAAGTCCAGGAATTTCATTAAGAATTTGGGAATGGGAATTTTGTGTAAGGGCAAAAGTTTTTCCCATTCAGATTTTGCATCTGGTTCAAGTTGCAAATTCACCACAAAGAAAGCTACTTGGATTAAATGTGACTTCTGTGTGAGCAGATCTTACCCCGCTAATGACAATGGACGTTATTGCCCACAAAATTTCGCAGAAATGTGACCACATCTACCATTTTCTAAAACATAGCTAAGAGTTTTAACTGGATTTTCAAGCAGAGAATTCTGCTGGCTAAATAAGTTTGGCTTAGATTCATTTCCCATTTTGCTCTGTTTTGATTAAATATTAGCAGCCTTTTCCCCTAGTCAGACTTAAAACCAGAGACTTGTGGAAGTTGGGCTTTCACTGTCAACTATTTTTGCCGAAGAGGAAATGCATGCTTGGAAGACACGGAGGGTACAGAGAG